GGGGGTGCGGTGGGCGCCGCCGGGACAGCCAAGGCGACGAGAGCGCGCGCCAGCCCGGCCTCGTCTTTATAATCCTGGGCCGCGGGCGCGCCCGTCCCCCGCCCTCGGCGCGCACGCGCCCTCCAGACATACCTCCTATTGGTCGGCGGACTCCAAGGCCCGCCTCCACCGCGCTCGGAATGGGCGTCCGCACTAGACTAGGCCCCGGATTCGGAAACGATGTAGAGGCCTCCCTTACCCTGACCCAGGATTGGCCGAGAGGCTCGCGCTCGTACTCTCCCCCAGCCTCTTATTGGCTCCCGGCGGAGAACTTTCTCTGCCTCGACTTCTGACTGGTGCCCTTCTTCCATACCTTCCGCGAGCTCGGAGTGGCTGCCACTTGGCAACCCGGAATATACGGCTCCTGATTGGCCCATAGATGCGCGCACCCGGAGCGTCCCTGCGACGAACGTGGCAGTGGGGCGGGGTCCCCGGCCGGGGGGCGGAGCTGTGCCTGCGCCTCCGAAACCCCTCGTGTTGCATTCTGACTGGACCGCGACTCGGTAATTGGCACCACCCCCGGGAACACGGGCCGGAAGCGGGGCGACGCAACTTCCGGCGTGCGTGTCGCCCGTGTGGTGCCTGCCGGGGACGCCGAGGTCTGGTACTGGAGGGCTCCCCGGAACCTTGCGGCGGCTGCTCGGAGGCCGCGGTGCGCCGAAGGCGGAAGGGCAGACCCGGGAACCAGCCCCGAGGCTGCCAAGGCCAGGCGGGCGCCGCACGCGGCCGCTGCCGGTCCCCAGGCCTCCGCCCCTCATGGCTGGAGCTCAGCTTGGGGCGCTGCCCCATCCCGGCTGCTCCTGGGCACCTGAGATGGGGCTTTCCACCCCGGACGGTGCGGAAACCCGCGTGGCGATTGTGCGGTGACTGGCCGGTGTCCGGTAGTAACTTTGTATCTAGTACTTGTTGCGATGACATTTTGTATATATATAAAGTCATTGTTACTTGTTCCTTTTTTTTAAAGAGTGGCTCCTATAAAGCGTGATCACGTTGCTTACGGGGCTCGCTGGGATTCTGTCCTCTGGGCCGGCCTCTCTGGACTCGGCCCTCCTCGGTACCAGCGCCGACCACCGCCTCCCCTTCACCTTCCCACTCCCTTCTGCAGGAACCTTCTCTCCCATGCGAAACCCACCGCCACCGATTGCAGGCTCAGCGGCAGTTCTGTCACTGCGCGTTAAACGCATACGTTGACGAATACCCTGATTTTCTCGTTGTGAAACATACAGAGAAGCTGCCTTTGCAAAGTCGTGTTTGTTCTTGAGAGCGAGTTCTCTGCTTTCCTCTATGAAACTCAGCTGCAGCTTGAATTCCTTGCATTCAGGCGGTTCTCGGCGCCCTGCCCCCGGTGCCGTAGAGAAGAGACCGCTGGAGGTGTTGCTTGGCCTGTGTGCAGGGGCTGCAGGCCTGCTGCACGGTGTCCCGACGTCGGAGTGCCATGGCCAGTTCTACAATGCGAGTTTGGAGCCTGAAATGACATCTGTACCGTGTCTGGTATGAGGCAGGTCACCCGCTAGGGTTGGGGCTGCCTAGATATTTGTCCATGGATAAGCAAAGTGAAGGGTTTGAGATGCCCCCCACTCAGTAGACAGTATAACCCCAGGGAGAATCTGAACTCGAACGGCAGGATATACAGGAAGGCGCGCAGGCCTGAGCCTCACCCAGGTCGCTTGGTCACCACTGGCCAAAGTAGGGGCAGAGGGGTGGCAGAGGGCTGGGCCACTGCTCTTCAGTTCCCATGGCCCAGTGGACCTTCTGAGAAGGCCGGGTGCCTCCAGCCTGCCCGGATCTCAGCGATTAGACCAGTGCCCGGTGCCCTGAACCACCTCCCATCAGCCAGAGCCCGAGCCACAGAATCGCTCTCTCGTGAGACTGGAGGAGGCTCCTTGGACATGGCCGACCGCAGTCTGCGGTGGTCGTGGTCGGTAGCCAGGGTGGGACTTTACAGGCTGGGAAGGGACAGGGGGACTAGCCCTGAGGGGAAGGCTGGGAGCGCACCTCAAGGGTTGGGCCTGCCCTTGGCTGTCTGCCACTCTGCCATCACAGACGCTCCAGGACGTCCTCCGGGGACTCTCAGGCCAGATGCCATGAACCCAACTGCCCTGGGGAGTGCTAGCTTCTGACTAGTACCACTCCGCAAAATGAAGTTCTCAGGACAAGCCACCTCCTTTCCGCGTGGTGGGTGAGAGGAGTCGGGTTCTGGGCAACTCAGGCACCTGGGCGTGCTCTCTGCACAGAGGACGGCCATCCAGGCCCCACTGGGAGTGAGCCAGCAGCAGTGCAGTGGTGGGTGTGGGCACTGGGGCGCTGGGCCAGGCGGTGCTGGCCATGGTGTTGGTCAGAGAAGGGCCAAACGGAAGCATGGTCACTCACTCCCCTCCCCTGACCCCAGGTCAGTCAGCACCAGCAGCAACCTCTGTCCTGAGAGGGGAGGGTCTGAGGGCGGCTGGGGGAGGGGAGGTGCCTGCCGAGGCCCACGGTGCTGCACAGGTCAGGGTACCAGGAGGACCAGGTTCGACTTGGGACCCAGAAGACACGTCACCAGTCCTGCAGGTGCCACCTCAGGTTATCCCGCACCTGGGAGGAGCCAGGACAAAGTCCGCACTGCTGGCCCTGTGCCTGCCCAGCTTGGCACCCGGGGTCTGAGGTCACATGTTCCTCTGAGCTGGGGAGACCTAGAGGCAGGGAGGCCAACCGGCAGCTCAGGAGGTCCTGGCAGGGCCGGCAGGTGGCCTAGTAGTTATGGGCGCTCAACTTGCACATGGCCGACCGTGGCCCCACATGTGGAGGCTTACTGTCTTGTTTTCCCTCCCTTTCTCTCTGTCTCTCTGGTCAAAATAAATAAAATAACATAATTTTTTAAAAAGCTCCTGACCAAGTTAGCTGAACCAAGCTGGCTGCTGACAACACGACTGATACCAGACCCAGAGTTCTTAGGAAGGGTCCAGGGTACGGGGCTCCTGGCTGCTCTACCCCTCCAGGCAGAGGGCCCTGGGCCTCCGTGGGAGGAGCCCCCACCTGCTTCAGCTCTGCTCAGCTGCAGCTCTAGAAGTCCGGCCAAGGGTCAGGGGCAGTGTCCCATGGAGCTCAGCTAGGCCTCTGCCCCTGGGGGTGCCACTCTGCCAGGTGGCCCAGCACAGGGCCAGCTCCAGGCGCAGCTGGTCAGTGGCTCCCATAGGGGCCTGGTAAGGAGTGCTCAGCACTGGCATGTGACGAGTGACCTGGGGAGACGAGAGGATGTGTCGGCCCATCCCAGCTGGCACCAGCTCTAGGCAGGCTCGCCCCCCCGCCAAGGCACACCGGAACAGTGGCAGCAGCCCAGCAGGGCTTCAGAAAGTCACCAAGTGGGGACCACTTTCAAACAGCGTGGGCCACAGAGAGCAGGCTTCCAAAGCACTCACTGAGAAAGGGAACTTTCTGAGAGCCTTGCTATAGGGCATGTGCACTCACCAGAGAGAGAGAAATCACCCCCAGGGGCTGGCCACATCTGTTCCCTCATGCACACGCGCGCGCCCCCGCGCCCCCCGCCTTCCGTTGCCGCTGCCCCCGGGTTTAGTTGCCAGGTCCCTGAGACTGCAGTCGACTATGAGTCCAGCCATGTGACCATTACGCCATCTGCTGGCCCCAGACTAAAGGGAAGCTTTCTAAACCCCAGTCTAGAGCGTGGCTCCTTGCCACGCCCTCACCCTGCAGGTGTGTGGGGGGGCCTCCCAGCCTGGAGATGCTGGCAGCCCCGCCCAGCTCTGCTCACTCCTGAGGTCAGTGGGCACCCCTGCCAGTCAAGGCTGTGAAGGGTGAGTACCACCTGGCACTGCTGCCCCAGCCACCCCATCCACTGACCTGTAGTTGGGGACAGTCGTGTCCTGGGCCTCCAGTAGTCAGGAGTCCACCCCAAGGGTGGGCCTATTTCCTACAGGCCGCCTGAACCAAGGCCTCAGGAGGGCACTAGACGCCCCGTATTCCCCCTGGGGCAGCATGTAAAACTCTGGGTGAGCCCTGCCCAGTTACCTCCCAAAGGGCCGGGCTGGCCTGGACAAGTGTTTCCCTCGGTTTCTTGGTGAACGGCAGTGAACTGGCAGGGTCACAAGCCCCAGCCAGGGCCAGCACCAAGCCCACTCTGTGCCCCACCAGGGTGCTCACCCTTTCTGCCCAAGGTGCCTGAGACAGGAGACACAGCACACATCCAGGTTCCTTCAGGACTTTTACTTTGGGGGAGGGTGAGCAGGGAGGGCTCCTCCGCCCATGCCCAGATGAGCCTGGCGGACGCCCGAGACCCGGAGAGGGGAGGCACAGAGCCCAGGTTCCATGCACACTTGGTCCCGCAGTGCCAGGGCCGGGGAGGGGCCACGCAGGCCGTGGCAGTGCCTGTGCAGAGGTGCCTAGGCCCCCAGCCCTGGGATGGCACGTCTGGAGGCAATAAATACTGCCGGGCCTGCATGCGGGGCGGGGCTGGTGGACAGTAAGGCATGGCCGCTGGCTCTGTCCAGGCAGGCTGTCGGACCAGTCTGGCGGCCCACAGGGAAAAGAAGGCAGAGTGCGAGGACACCGGCCTCCCCGTGGGGTTGGAGGCAACTGTGAGTTTTGGCGATCTGGCCCTCCCACAGCCCTGGTAGGAAAGGGGGCCGCCAGGCGGGACTGGGCAGCAGAGCACACCCCATGCCTGGGGCCGGGGCGCAGAGTGGGACGGAGACCACATGCTCATGCAGACACAGGGAGTTAGGGGTGACGGCCACAGAACGCTCCACATGTTAAGGCATCATGGTTAGACGGTCAGTGACGGAGACAGATGGGCCCGCAGGGAGCGGGGTGGCCAGAGCCGGGGCCACCGCAGGGGTGCCAGGCACTCAGAGTGCCCAGGTGGCCCTGCAGTGCTCCGTCCCCTTCTCAAAGCCAGGGCCTCAGGTGTGGCATGTGGGGGAGCCTGAAGGACACAGAGAGGGCGGCAGGCAGGCCGGCGAGCCCCTGCCCCATGGCACAGGCA